TAAAAATAAATTGTAATTAATATGGTGTCATGATTATTCATAAATTAAGAGACAAAATTGACAAAAAAAATCTAAGTACTAGGAGCACAAACACGCACAGAAACACACGCTGAGAAATAATGCATTTCAAGAAGCGAAAAAAAAAATTTAAAAAAAAATTATATAATAGGAATACACTAAAGACTGCAGTCTGTGATTTCTAGATACTTAAACAAAATAAACTATTCACAATATTGAAATAATAATGACCTTTCACAATAATGACTATTTAGAGCGCCCAATTTATCAAAGTTGAACAATGGGTGCAAAAAAATCAACTAGAAATATAGAAATGAAAAAGGAGAACACTAGAGTCCGCAGGAAAATGCATTTCAAGAAGCAAAAAAAAGTAGTAGGTCGAAATTTAATAACCATTGAAAAGTGATTGTTAAAAATTAAAAAAACTAAATTGGAATGGTTYAAAATAAAATCTGAAAAAAACACAATTTATTAGTACCTAGTAAATAGGTTTATTGTTTATTGAGTGGACTGAATACGGGACAAAACCAATTATTTTAAATGCATTTAAAATTGCAACGGTAGCGGTATTTTGAAAAATAATACTATGATGAGTATAATTTTATATTATCGATGAACCACAATTACCCAACACACGAATTTGAGTTAGCTAATCGTGGTTTTCGAAATAAATTGAAAGTAAGTAAAAAATAAAAATATATATGTATAAATTATATTGAACTAGTTAAATTGTTTAGTTAGTTATGTTAAGCAAATTATTAAATATTTGGCTTTTTTCAAGCATAATTTTAGTATTACAATATTATGTGCATAAGTGCATCCATATTTAGTGCTTTTTTAAGCGCATTAGGTTCAGAACTCAAAATAATTATATATATGACATCATATTATAATAATATAATATTTAGAATACCTAGTATATAAATATTAATAATAATATTTTTTAAATAATATAATAAGTTACATTTTAAAAGTCCTTTGTCGGTTGCCATTTAATTATTTTGTATTTGTTCATCACWCTTTGTTTCTTTTAAGAAATAATTCCTCTCCAAGCATAGGCGCACATAGGGGGGTGCTTGTGGTAAAATTTGCACCCCATTAACAATTTAAATTATTAACTATTACATGGTCATATCTTTTGAAATATTATTATATAAATCCGTTTATGTATGTCAGGCTATTTTGAAAATATCAACAGCTAGTTTGTCAKCAGAAATGCTGGTCTCAAAGAATAGCCTACCAGCCAGCTTTGTATTTGAAGACATGAGAAATCAATGTTATAAAAGTTCGTTTCCAATTGTCTATAAGCTATTTCAGGTGGGAATTACAATTCAAATTTCTTCTTCAACGCGTGAACGCTCCTTCTCAGCTATGCGTATAGATTGAAAAACTGGTTACGCACCAGTATGGGACAARAAAGATTTACTAAGCTATTTACGCTTAGCATTGATGGAGATCTTACCAATAAAATAGAAGGGGAAATTATAATGCAAAAATTTTCAATATCAAACAGAAAATYAAATCTTGATTAACATTAATAATTAATGATTACATATATTATTATAACTTGTAATTGAATT